TGGATTGGATTAGATTCAATGGTTTTGCTTTTCAAATAAGATGTCATTGACTGATGCATACTAGTATAGTTATTGAAAACCGGTTTTTGTTCAGTTGTTATTTTCAAAAGTTCAATTAGTTGTTGTTCAAAGTCTATAAATACTGAATAATTGTCCTTAATATCATTTTCATTTTCGTCATCAGGGTTTCTATACAATAAATCCATATAGCTTGGTAGCTCTACCACTTCAGTTGCTACCTTTCTACGTAATCTGTTATCTCTACTCTGAGAGGAGTCAATTAATGTAGATATAGGGTCTCTTTTCTTTGTAATCTTGAAATCATCCTCTTCTGTTTCCTCTTCCAACCCCTCACCGCTACTATCATTGGTTTTCTTTGATCTCTTGCTCTTGTTCTTTCCTTTTCCACCAGTACTGAAACTTTTGTATATATTATCATGATTGTGGATTGCCTCTTCATCTGTTGAGAGTTCATCGTAATCCTGTGTTTTATTTGATTGAACAATTGGACTTGATAATTTTATAGTTGACTTTTTTGGTGAAGTTGATGTTTTTGTGGTTGTAGTTGTTTTTTTTGTTGAAGTTAATGTTTTTGTCGTTTTAGTTGTTTTGGTTGGATGAAAAGTGTTAAGAAAGGGGAATATTTTAAATATAGTTTCATTTGGAGCATTCCAAACCAAATCTTCTTCATTTATATTATTTTTCTTGAGAAATTCTTTTTCCTGCTTACTATTAATATATAGATCTATAAAATGATGTTAATTTAATGAATTAAAATTGTTTAATAGCTAATTACATACATTGTTGTACTTTTGAAAATGATGTTAAAAGTTTCATTAAACCTTTATCGAAATCTGGGTGTTTTTCAATTATTTCCTCCTCATTTGAGTGAAAGATATTTGAGAGTAATATGAGATTGTCTTGATACAGTTTCTTATTTTTTGAATCTTCAAGCCATCTTAAGAAGTCTTGTTTCAAAATATCAATTTGTTTTTCTATTTTGGAAAGTGGTTTTATCCCATCAACTCTATTGGTAGTTGGTCTACCCAATGGAGATAATGAGTATACATTATTAGGTTTAGAATACTTTAAAATTAAAGAATTGAGGCTTTTTTGGTCAAGTTGGATCAAAGAAGGTGTGTTGGTGGTATCGTTCCTAACTTGTTCCTCAGAGAGATTTGGCTCCCGTAAAATATCATTAATTGAGTAGGCATTATTATTTCCTCTGTTGAGTTTGTAGTATACTAATGCAGTAATCGTAGAGGATTCAATAATACCATTGTTGTTTAAGAATTGGTTTCTTGCATCATTACAAGCTTGAGAATATGATATTTTAGGTGGTGTTGATTGGTTAATTGTTGGTACTAACATTATTACTATATTATTTTGAATAATAAAATAAATAGTCCATTTTAAACTGTTTTGGACGTTTTTTATTTTTTAGACGAAATGATATTTATTAAAATTATATAAATTCCCTTTGTGGAAAAATTTATCTTAATTTGAATTTAAATACTTCAAATCTTCAACAATAGAGATTTTGGCAAAATATATTCGAAATAAAATTAATTTGCTCCAAAGATAGTTTTGCATATTTGAAAAAATTTTTGGTTGTAAAATGCAATTTAGAAAATGAGATTTACAAGTTTTATGGGTATAGTTATATTTGTATATGTATAGAGAGAATAATACTCCATTCATGATAAATATTGATTCAGATTAGGATATAAGTAATAAAGTAGAAGTTGTGTAGAAAAATTTTTTTTGATTTTTTTCACTTTTTGTTTTTAAAAAATTTATCATTGTGCAGGAGTGGAATAATATAACGTCAAAATTTCTTTTATCTTCTATCTTGTTGTGAAGATATTGAAGTGTGAATAAATATTGTTGGTATCTTTACTTAGAGCTTTTGCAGCATAATATTTTATAGGTTTAGGGTTACTGATTAATATCACTGAATTGGCAGCGATTTTATCTAATGATGGAATAATTCCCTCTGGTAAATGCCAATCTGTAATGTGGAATATTGGTTTCTATTTGGTTATTATCCCTGTTAGAAGAGATTGGTAGGTTTATTAATTAGCAACATGGTAGTTGACAATCATCTAAACAATTTAAATACTAACATATGATAGACAACAGATTAAGAAAACTTATTATTGATATTGATAATTGATAACCACCCACTTTTCCATCCTAAATAGTCATTATCATTAAACAATTGACATACACACTATGTTATCACCCACAAATAGGTTGGATTCATAAACTCGAGAAATAGGAATCTCAGATAATCTTTGAATACCGAATAGATAGGGTAATGAAAAGTTGTTGGTCATATGGATTCATAAATTTGGTTATAAAATCATCAATAGGTGAATCATCAGTGATGGAGATGTATTCAATTTCATTACTGGTAACATGATTGGCAAGAATGGAACTAAGAGCAGACAATTTAATTGTTTGACTGGTTATATCCTTGGTTTTTTTTTAGTTCTTCTTTTCTTTTGTTCAAGTTATATTTATTGGTGCAAGAGTCTTTAAGAACACTATTCTCTTTATGTTTTCCCTCATCAGTTGAAAGTCATTGAGTCGGGGAGCTATAATGTTCAAGATGGAAACCAGTGTGCTTTAAAAAATAATGAACATAGGTAGAAACATTTTGACCTTTAGGTAAAGTGTCATCATTAACATCATAATTTGGTACTGGAATAAATTTACTAGTAGTTGTAAACGTATGGGATAAATATAAAGACTAAACGATGTTTGTATAACTAAGATGAATATGTATATGATAGTCTTTATTTTATGAATACGAATAACAGAGTTGAGCTCGGAATAATAGATGTATGATGTGATCATGATGTGATCTGAGATGAGATGGTCTGAGATGTGTGAGAGTAATGATAGATACTATCGTTACGGCTACATAGTAGTGGTAGTAGGTTGAATAAAATATTTTAATTTAAAATCAAGTGATTTCTTTTTACCCTGGTTATTAGTCAAAGATCAAATTAATTATATTTATATTTGAGAGCTAGTGGAGCAAAAAAATTTAGTTTCGTGGCTTGTGTGAATATAATTATATCAACTGGGTCACAAAAAGATTTTTTTGATATTAATTATTTTCACGACAGAATAAACCAAATTTTTGTATTTCCTATTTTTACCTAAAAATACATAACTGGGCATTCCAGGAGCAAAACACCAAAAATTCAGAGGGAAAGTTCGAACTTCAACAAGGGAAAAAAGGTACGCTCGACGGGGGGCTCGAACCCCCGACCACACGATTAAGAGTCGTGCGCTCTACCGACTGAGCTAGCCAAGCTGATGTTTCATTAATATTTAATTTATCTCTTTTATACATAAATTTTAACAGCATGTCAGATTATGTAAGAATGCTCCTTACCAAGTTACACAAGAGTACAGTAAAGATTAGTATAAAAGTATACATAAAAGGTAGTCAGGAATGGATGACTATCATCTTAAGACCTTTTAGCGTAACTGTTAATACTGTATCTCTTACAATTACGAAAAACAACCAACTCAATAAAAACACATTAATTTTGTTACAAATGGGAATTCCCTTTGTAGACCTGTAAAAAAAAAAAAATACTTAAATTTTGTGCAACAAAAATATAAAGAATATTCAAGAAAGAGTTCTATCAAGTAGATACCAATGGAACCAAAGAATATTAAACCAAATCAACAACCCAGTATTGGGTTCATTTATTGCTATATTGTTTGACTTCATATGGTATTCGAGAAATAAGAAAAATCACGATAAAATTGATATGGAACTGAACTGGCTAGCTGTCACCTACAAGATGAATATAGCTAAAAGAGCAGAATGGGAAAAAACAATCTGCCTAATATCCAAACACTGGAGACTCCACCACAGTACCACTATAGACAAGGTAAAAAACCAATATATATCCTCGATCAAATTTCAAATCAAAATGTTCACCAAGCTAATACAAATTCTAATACCAGACCATTTTCAATCTACAAAAATAAACTTTAGGTCCAACTCCTACAAGTTAGGTGTAAAGTACTAAGTATAATGAATAAATAATGAAGTACTTTATGTATAATTTAGTATATGGAAAATATTTTGATGAATGATATTATTATTATTATTGGATATTTGGAATATAATTCAAGTAAAGTCCTTTGATTTACCAAAGTACTTATAAGATAGATCGCTAAAGGTCTTAAGATGATAGTCATCCATTCCTGACTACCTTTTATGTATTCTTTATACTAATCTATACTGTACTCTTGTGTAACTTGGTAAGGAGCTTTCTTACAATTTATTTTTCTTCAAAATATTTATGTTTTTTTTTTTTACAGGTCTACAAAGGGAATTCCCATTTGTAACAAAATTAATGTGTTTTTATTGAGTTGGTTGTTTTTCGTAATCTGACATGCTGTATTGGAATTTTTTTGATGGTGGAGTCGGGAGGAGTAGGAGTTTTAGGTTGTCTGAGTTTTGTAATATCGTGTGGATATGCATTGGTACGTGTTTTGGAGTAAATGGAAATGGATTTTCGTTGTTGATCTGCCAGTCTCTTGTACGTTGTGCTATTGCTTGTATGATTTGTTCTTTTTTATAGTGTTTGATTATTACTGAGTTGTATATACTGTTCATTCTATCTATTGTTCTTTTCCATATGATTTTTCTGCACATGTTTAGTTGATAAGCAATGGTGAACATATTGAATGGGGAGATCTCTGATTTGAATTTTTTTGCGTTTCTTCTGGACCAAATATGGTGCATGAATATTCCAAATAATGAATTGGTCTGAGGAGTGTTCTTTTGTAGATTAAGTAGGTTAATGGACCATTCTACTTGCTCCAAGTGAAACGTGAGTAGACATTTGAAAAGATTTTTTTATATTGGCCAGTTCGCTGCATTTAAAGAATATGTGTGATGAGGATTCTCGTTCAAAAAATATTATGTATAAAAAGAGGTAAAATTTAAAATTAATGAAACATCAGCTTGGCTAGCTCAGTCGGTAGAGCGCACGACTCTTAATCGTGTGGTCGGGGGTTCGACGCCCCCCGTCGAGCGTACCTTTTTTTTTTTTTCTTTTTTTTTTTTTTTTTTAATGCATTAAACCCTCTGAATTTAACAACTCCAATGTTAAACTTAAATTTGAATTCAATAGAAACTGGCAAACAGTTTACAATCCTCTACCAATTCCACACAAATTAAAAATAATAATTAAAAAAAAAAAAAAAAAAAAATAATAATAATATGTAATAGTAATGCCTCGGGCCCTAGGTATACTATAACTATACGTTTAATGTATGAATAAAGAATATATAATAATGATTGTGTTTATTTTGTATGTAATGTTGTATTGTTTAAGGTGGGAAACGAATCGTAGTGTATCTGAGATTCGTAGATGAATTGAGATCTGAGTTGCAGTAAGGACCATTACTGCTACAAATAGTAAAATTCAATTTGAACAACTGAAAATAAAGAAGAACTCACAAATAAGAACTAAAACAAGAAGATCCCATAAGAAGAAAACAAAAACAAGAAGAACACCCACTTATCACAATGTATCAATCACAACTCACAATCAAAACTCACATCACAAAAACAAAACAATCAAAACCAAGATAAATACCATTTAACACCAACCACAACACAATTTTAACAGATAATACCTCTCAATAAATAAACGTAATTAAGATTTTACCGTATTGCTAGTTACACAGGTCAAAAAATAAATCTCAGTGTATAATAGGAACGACTGGGCCCCACAGAGTTCTATTACAAGAGATTAAATGTTAAGTTAAGCGATCTTTTTTGCTGTAATGTAAACATATTAATTTATTTTAAAATATATTTTTTAGAATCTTGTTTTGATTGAATATCAAAAAGAGAACATCTCTTTTCTAATTGATCTAAAAGAGAGAGAGAATTTTCATTCAAACTTGAAATTTTTGTAGAGATTAATTGTTTTTTTTCTAAAATACCCATATAAACTTGATCTGAGTATTTAAAAAGAGTAGAATCATCACAAGTAAACATGGATTTAAATGATTGACAATGATCAGATTCCAAAGATTTTGGAGAGGAAACTTTTTGTAAAATATCTATTACTAAAGGAATTTTTGTAGAAATGTAAGGATTACATTCCAACAAGAAAGTTTCTTTTGTAATAATCAATTGATTTGAAATATTTTGGAGAATTTTACTAATTAAAGTTAGTGTTCTTCTAGATTCATGTGAAATATTACTACCATCATCAGATGGTAATAAACTACCACGAGAGAATAGAGTTGGTACTAAAAATCTTAAAAAAAAGAAACCACCAACACTTTTTAAACTAGATTCTTTAGTTTCTGATGGAAATTTCTTTTGAACTTGATTTAAAATTAAACAAAGTAATTGTTTCATTTCTTCTGGTATCAAATGAATAGAATTTTGAATACTATTCAATATTCCATCACAATAATTTAAAATTATTTTTAAATTATCTGATGATTGTTTTTCTGTGATAGGACCTTTTAGAGGGTCAACCTCCAATTGTAAATTATCATTACAAATATTTTTAATTAATGGTAATATTACAGCTTCAAGATAATTATAACCAATAATTTTAAATGTACTAACTGTAATTTTTGTTGCCAAAGAATCAGTACGAAATAATACATTAATATTATCTGTGTTCTCAATTTCTACTGTTAAAATATCACCCAATGTCTCTAATAAATGGCCATTATTTGCTAGAATAAACATTAGACTTTTTGCAAATTCGTCTTGATGTAAAATTTTAGTTATTGATTTTATCAATAATGACTCTCTAATTAATGGTGATATCAAATCTGATTGACTCCAATATTGATAATGAATTTGAATTGTACCTCTATTCTTTTCTTTAGATTTAGATTTTCTACTCTTTAAAGGTAAATCTAATATTGTTGTACTACCTTCCAATTTTGATCCTCTAATCAAATCTTCAACTGATAATTTTATCATTCCCATAAAATCATCTTTAGAAACTTTATCTTCATCCCACATTTCTAAATAAATTTCTTGTGATGGTTGATTTATATCACTATAAATATAAATAATAATATAAATTAATATATATTGCTAATAATTTTTAATGTTTTTTTATATTTACAATATGAATTCTTCATCTTTCCAAATTGGATTTAAAGTTTTTGGAATAATTTCAGTTTTATAAATTGGTGAATTATTTGTAAAACCAGTTTGAACATTATAAATTAATGATATTAAACAATATGGATCGGATGTACCTGTAAGATCTAATGCTAATGTATTTTTTGCACTAACAATTTTTATATATAATTTACCAAATTCATTTTTTGTCATTATTATCTAACCTAATATCAATTATAATGTCCAACTAAAAAAAACAAGAAAAATAACTAATAAAAAAAAAAAAATAAGATTTTATTTTGAGACGAGACTTTTATACAATTATAAAAACAAAAATTTATTGAAAATTTTAAATAAAAATATTATTATCAAAAAATCTAATACCTTCAATAGTTTCGTCTCTACAAAGTTTACCAGTTTTTTCTGATGCCAATAATTTTTCTGTTGATAGAGATAGGGAGATTTGTTGAATTTTTGATAAATCAAAAGCAGTAATTGGACCCTTTTCTGTTATAATATCTAAAATTTCTTTTGCCATTTGTTCATCATTTTCATATTGACTTTGTACTATAATTACACCACTATCAAATTTTCTTAGTCTTAATGGTAATTGTAAAATTTCAAATTGTAAACAAGCACGGTAAAGATCATCAGGACTTATCAATTCAATACCTCTAGCACGATTAAATATACAATAGAGATCTGATAATAAAATCATACCACAATTTATACTCTTTGTACCTTGTCTTGTTAAAACTTGTTTTTGTATTATCCATTCGGATAATTGTCTACTCAGTTCATTATGATATTGTGATCCTGCTGTTTTTTTTGTTACTGGACTTTCTATACCCATTTGTAATAAAAATGATTTAAATTCATCTTCTTCTTCTGTTATTGCGGTACTACTGTCTTTAGTTTTTTTATCTAAAGTTATTCTAAGTTTTTCTGATAATGTAACCATATCTTTTGCTTTATCCATTAATGCATTCAAATCTGAAAATGCTTCATTCAAAATCTTATCTGTTTGTTGTGTTTTATCATTTATTGTTTTTAAAACTCCTGAAATACCTGCTTTACTTGAATCAAATCTATCATTATTATTATTATTATTTATATTTGTAGTTATTACATTATTATTATTATTACTATTATTTGTTAATGGTATATAAGGTGGTGGTTGATTTTGAGATAAAAATTCTTTTCTTTTTTGAATTGATAATAAATAATGATTATAAAATTCATCTCTTTTACCTTGATGAAATGAGAATTTAAATGATTTTTGAGGTAAAATGATATTAATTTTTGGACTTGAACTAATAGCAAACATCTTTTGATAAGATTCAATTTTTAAAATTTGTTCATGCGATAGTGACAATGCTATAGTGGGTAATAATACCCAAACCACTCTAAATGGTGTCAAATATAATACTCCATTTTGATATGATGTTTTTTGTTCACCATCATATATTGTAACATTTTCTACTAAATATATAATCAATTCATTTGCTATCAATTGTGGTTTACCATTTTCAATATTTGTTTTTTTAAAAAAGGTTTCCATTTGCCACTTTAGAACTTAATAAAAAAATAAATTTCAATAAAAAAAAAAAAAAAAAAAAAAAGATTTTCGAAGACTTCGAATATAAATAGTGTTGGTGTTAAATTAGTACTTTTATAATAAACTTTTAAAATCTATATTCAGATTTTATAAAGTTTTTTTTATTTTTTTTAAATTGTAATATGATCACTTAATAATGGAGTTTTTTGATTAGGTTCATTATTAATTTTTGGTTGAATTTGATATGTTGGAATAGGTTGAATAGGTTGAATAGGTTGTGATTGAAATATATATTTTATTGGTTGTGAGTTATTACCATCTTGAGTTGGAATTGGATAGGATACTGAAATAAAATATAGTGATCTACCCTTTTCAGTTAAATTATATTGAAAATATAAACTTGAATTACCATATTGACCAATATTTAATTTATCAGTAATTTCATTCAATTTTGCAAACAATGCTTTTTTTCTCTTTAAAAATTTAATCATGAATATAAATACTGAAGCACTATAGAATACCATTCCCAAAACTAATAACCATAAACCATATTGTGTGGTAATAAGCAGTGCACCAAACATTGAAATGATTAAACCAATAATAGCAATTAAAGCTTCTTTCCAAATTAGTTTTAATGAAAGTTTAAATCTAAATTCATCATAGCTGGTATTATAATGATCAACAGCAGTTTCAAGTTCATTCATATGAATATTACTTAAAGGATATGGTATTTCAGATTTTTCCAATAAAAATCCTATTACAAAACTACCACTATATTTACTTTTTAATTTAAATGTTGCATTTGTATTTGTTGTAACAATCATTGTTTAAAATGATATTTCGATCAAAAAAAACTTTATTCCCTTTTTGCAAAAGTTTAAAAAATCAGTTTTTCTTTGGTAATTGAGAAATTGGATCACCCAGGATGCCTGGTAAAAATAAAATATAGATATTTTTAAAATGTAACTTTATTAATTAGGATTTTTTATGAGAGGATGGATATCTTGGCATAAATAATGGATCTCTTGGTGGAGGATTTTCAGTAAAATATGAATGATTAAGTGCATCTTTTGCTGTAATTCTTTTTTGTGGATCAAAAGTTAACATGGAGGACAGAAGGTTAAATGTTTGATCTGTAATGTGAGGAAATTTTAATTTTAAATTATTAAATGGTTGTTTTTCAAAATTGATATTTTTAACTAGAGGCAGTGAATAGAAATCAGGCCAAATTTGAGGTGTTGGTGTACCTAATAATTTAAAAATTTTATCTAATTGATCTATATCTGAGTTACCTGGTAGTAATACTTCTCTAGATAGAATTTCTGCAAAAATACAACCAGCAGACCACATATCAATGGCAGTGGTATAATGT